TATTTGTATTTTTACTTTTATTTTTTTTTTGTTAAAAAAACGTTCAAAACAACCAATATAACAATAGCAAAGACTCAAATTATAATTACAAAGAATAATAATAATAAAATATATTAGTAATAAACTTTTAGAGGATGTAAAATATTAATTATCCTTGGATTATTTAAAAATTCTCGTTGCATCTCTGTCAAATGTATTTTTTTGTTTAGATCACATAGCATAAAAATAGCCGTCATCACTTTCTTCATAGCTGATGGCCTCGGAGCTCCTTTTCACGTTAGATAACACAGAGGGGACCCCAGAGGTTCTTTTTGCATGAGACGATGCTGATAAAGCCTGTTGATCTTCAATGAAAGTATTGGCAGAGCTTGAAACACTTTTACTATCATTGTTGAGCAACACGCTTTGTTGTGATCTCATAGCAGAACTTGATACACTCCTATTTTCATCATTGAGCAACAAACTTTGTTGTGATCTCATAGCATTCATTCTTAAAACATTAAATTCATCATGTTGACGTTGTAATACTAGCATACGTTCTTCCTGAGTCGATTTTCTTGGATCATGTTCATCTGGTTTTGAAAACTGTTGGTCTCGCGAAAAATAATAAGGTATAATACTAGGATCATCAACTTTTTCCACAGCTACAAATTCCGAACCGCCTACTTTCCCCAGTGGTTCAGTATCACCATATATCATTTTTCCATCTCTTGATAATGAAATGTTACGCTTCAACTTTGTTTTCTTAGCAATTGAAGGCGCAGAATTAGAAGATATTGAATTAGGGGGAGAAATTATAGGAGCTGGAGCAGCTGGTAGCATTTGAGAAGAAATTATAGGAGTTGAAGCAGCTGGTAGCATTTGAGAAATTATAGGAGTTGGAGCAGCTGGTAGCATTTGAGAAGAAATTGGGCTTTCATTTGACGAAGAATCATTTGAAGAAAATTTATCGGATTCAATACACCGATCAGTGTTATTGTTATATGAACTGAGACGAGCATATGAATCTCTATCGACATCTAACCCCAACCCCGAAGTATATGGTTTTGTAGGTTGTGAACTCATAGAATCATGTATTGTACTATTTAAAGAATTTCCACCTGACACAGTTCCTATAAAACCTTTTCGAGGATAGATTATCAAAATAAGAACAAGCCATTCGATTATTGCCGCAAAATTTATGTGAGCAACCAATATGTCACTAAATAGATATATATATATATCAATATATAAATTGGGTATTATGTATGTATATGCGTATGTATGTACGCATGTATGCATGTTATTTTTAAGTCTTTTAAATAAATAAATTAAAAAAAAAAAAAAAAATACATACCTTGCTACTCTACTATTAGTGATTGGTCTTGAAATTATAAGAGCGTCGCTACCCAAAATAAGAAAGCTTGCGCCCGTAACAAACAAAGTGAGGGTTAACACTTTATTCATATCGATAAAATAATGTATTTTCGTTATCACGTGAGGGTCATTTTTATTGTGATAAGATATTTGGATCAATTTTATGAATCGATAATGAGTTTGGATACCCAACACAGTAAGTACTATTAACTGAGCACCATAAATTAATTGTGGGATAGCCTGTATAGAAAAGTATTAAAAAAAATTTCTTGCAGATACATGTTAAATATATCTTATAATAATCAATGTAATACCTCTCTTAACGTGGCAATATTACTGAACGCAGCTTGTAGTACTGGGAACAAGAACGCAGATACAACTCCCAAGAAAACATATAGTTTAAATTCGAATCTTGACATCAATGAAGCTTTTGCGATGGAATTAGAAACATAATTCCAGAAACATTGCAATAGGAATAAAATTGCACTAATAAAAATATGTTTAATGAATATAATAACAACACATATAACAGTAAGTATATAGAAAACAAAAAAACTTACATTTGAAAACTAAATTCAACCATCAAGGCATAAGAAACTGGAGAAATCCACTGTGTATTGTCGTCAGGCCAAGAATTAGGATTTTCTTGAATCATTATATTTGGAGCATTAGGAAGAAAATATAATCCATTGGAATATATTATTTTTGTCTACCGTATAAAATTTCGTTTATATAAAATTTCATTTAGATTAGAAAAGATTGTATAATTGAAAAGCTTACAATATATATATATATATATTTACCAAGAAAATATCATAAAATGATCCAAGCGGTAATGCCAACAATATGATTATTGTAATGTAAGACTTTAATTCTAACGAACGTATTCGATTCCATTTCAATGCTGCAAATCGGTCACACTATTTTGAATTTTAATTGATCATTTATTCTGTTAAGTTTCATTGTGACAACTTTATTTTTTACCGATAAGACTTTATAAACTTACTCTCCAAACATGAAAAATAAACCATATCCATACATATATATCATGTACTGATCGTTCTGTAATTTGGTAAAAATTATGTTAGCGTAGGCCTCATATTTAATTATGGTGTGTGAAGTGTAAGTTCTTTTTGCCTGCAAATAAAACTTTTCACCACTCTTTATATTTTGCAGCAGCATATAAAGAACTACTATATATACAATTATTTCATGATTAAAAAAAAAAAAATCATTACCGAGGAAAATATAATCACTCATTAAAGCTGAATTTGTATTTGCTGACGTCTATAATAATATGGTATCTAACCATAGGATGGTATCTAGCCAAAGAAAGAAAACTACCGCTTGGGTATTAAATAAAAGTTTGATTTTGTTTGATTTTTCCGCTTATATAGTAAGGAGTGTAAAAGTAGGTACGTTAAGAGAGAAAACCAGTGAGAAGACCAAGCTGTAAGCAAAAGGATCTTAAAAGACCAAAACAAGATATATATTGTGCAATGTTTACGTTATACGTAATTTGTTTAAGAACGTAATGTGCGACTTTAATTTGTTTACTTTCCGGTTATTATTATTATTATTTATTGAATGCCTTTATGCGATTTGCCTAACGTTAATAAAAGAAAGTATGGTAAATTTTGAATTCATATATATAAATGCGAGCAATAAGACATAAGACATAAAGGTTAAGCCCTAAAACATTTTGAAACACGGGCGCTTTTCTTTCCTTGAAAAAATGATATGTATGATGATCTTACCTTATTTTAATAATGTTAGAATGGAAATAGAATAAATGTATTATTGGTTCTCATATATGATTGAATACTTTATGTAACGATTAAATTATTGTTTGCCATAATTGTTTAACTAATAAGACCTTTGTAACACGTGCATACATATTTTATTTACACTTTAACGAAAATTAACGTCCGTTAATATATATCTATATATTAGTTATATTGCTAACGCTAAAGCTAATTATTATTATTGTACAAACTCATATATATATATGCACAATGCATACATTTACCAAAAATATTTAAGTGTCAACTTTTTCGTCTAGAAGTTTGCATACAGTCACTTCTACGTATACAAACTGGCTATTTTGGAGATTATTGTTTGTACCGTAAAACTCGGAAAATGAACACCACACCCTCTACCCTGCTTATTTGTCAATCTTTTCCGAACTTTATAGTAATAACAATTTTTACCAATAATATTTTACGCAGTGATTTAAGAAATCAAATAAATTAACAAAATGAGTTATCATCGATGAAGAAAATATGATGAAGCCATTTATTTTTTTTCATAGCTATTTTGATTAGCTGTCCGCATTTCGCACAATGAAATTTTAATAGATATATATTAACGGACGTTAATTTTCGTTAAAGTGTAAATAAAATATGTATGCACGTGTTACAAAGGTCTTATTAGTTAAACAATTATGGCAAACAATAATTTAATCGTTACATAAAGTATTCAATCATATATGAGAACCAATAATACATTTATTCTATTTCCATTCTAACATTATTAAAATAAGGTAAGATCATCATACATATCATTTTTTCAAGGAAAGAAAAGCGCCCGTGTTTCAAAATGTTTTAGGGCTTAACCTTTATGTCTTATGTCTTATTGCTCGCATTTATATATATGAATTCAAAATTTACCATACTTTCTTTTATTAACGTTAGGCAAATCGCATAAAGGCATTCAATAAATAATAATAATAATAACCGGAAAGTAAACAAATTAAAGTCGCACATTACGTTCTTAAACAAATTACGTATAACGTAAACATTGCACAATATATATCTTGTTTTGGTCTTTTAAGATCCTTTTGCTTACAGCTTGGTCTTCTCACTGGTTTTCTCTCTTAACGTACCTACTTTTACACTCCTTACTATATAAGCGGAAAAATCAAACAAAATCAAACTTTTATTTAATACCCAAGCGGTAGTTTTCTTTCTTTGGCTAGATACCATCCTATGGTTAGATACCATATTATTATAGACGTCAGCAAATACAAATTCAGCTTTAATGAGTGATTATATTTTCCTCGGTAATGATTTTTTTTTTTTTAATCATGAAATAATTGTATATATAGTAGTTCTTTATATGCTGCTGCAAAATATAAAGAGTGGTGAAAAGTTTTATTTGCAGGCAAAAAGAACTTACACTTCACACACCATAATTAAATATGAGGCCTACGCTAACATAATTTTTACCAAATTACAGAACGATCAGTACATGATATATATGTATGGATATGGTTTATTTTTCATGTTTGGAGAGTAAGTTTATAAAGTCTTATCGGTAAAAAATAAAGTTGTCACAATGAAACTTAACAGAATAAATGATCAATTAAAATTCAAAATAGTGTGACCGATTTGCAGCATTGAAATGGAATCGAATACGTTCGTTAGAATTAAAGTCTTACATTACAATAATCATATTGTTGGCATTACCGCTTGGATCATTTTATGATATTTTCTTGGTAAATATATATATATATATATTGTAAGCTTTTCAATTATACAATCTTTTCTAATCTAAATGAAATTTTATATAAACGAAATTTTATACGGTAGACAAAAATAATATATTCCAATGGATTATATTTTCTTCCTAATGCTCCAAATATAATGATTCAAGAAAATCCTAATTCTTGGCCTGACGACAATACACAGTGGATTTCTCCAGTTTCTTATGCCTTGATGGTTGAATTTAGTTTTCAAATGTAAGTTTTTTTGTTTTCTATATACTTACTGTTATATGTGTTGTTATTATATTCATTAAACATATTTTTATTAGTGCAATTTTATTCCTATTGCAATGTTTCTGGAATTATGTTTCTAATTCCATCGCAAAAGCTTCATTGATGTCAAGATTCGAATTTAAACTATATGTTTTCTTGGGAGTTGTATCTGCGTTCTTGTTCCCAGTACTACAAGCTGCGTTCAGTAATATTGCCACGTTAAGAGAGGTATTACATTGATTATTATAAGATATATTTAACATGTATCTGCAAGAAATTTTTTTTAATACTTTTCTATACAGGCTATCCCACAATTAATTTATGGTGCTCAGTTAATAGTACTTACTGTGTTGGGTATCCAAACTCATTATCGATTCATAAAATTGATCCAAATATCTTATCACAATAAAAATGACCCTCACGTGATAACGAAAATACATTATTTTATCGATATGAATAAAGTGTTAACCCTCACTTTGTTTGTTACGGGCGCAAGCTTTCTTATTTTGGGTAGCGACGCTCTTATAATTTCAAGACCAATCACTAATAGTAGAGTAGCAAGGTATGTATTTTTTTTTTTTTTTTTAATTTATTTATTTAAAAGACTTAAAAATAACATGCATACATGCGTACATACATACGCATATACATACATAATACCCAATTTATATATTGATATATATATATATCTATTTAGTGACATATTGGTTGCTCACATAAATTTTGCGGCAATAATCGAATGGCTTGTTCTTATTTTGATAATCTATCCTCGAAAAGGTTTTATAGGAACTGTGTCAGGTGGAAATTCTTTAAATAGTACAATACATGATTCTATGAGTTCACAACCTACAAAACCATATACTTCGGGGTTGGGGTTAGATGTCGATAGAGATTCATATGCTCGTCTCAGTTCATATAACAATAACACTGATCGGTGTATTGAATCCGATAAATTTTCTTCAAATGATTCTTCGTCAAATGAAAGCCCAATTTCTTCTCAAATGCTACCAGCTGCTCCAACTCCTATAATTTCTCAAATGCTACCAGCTGCTTCAACTCCTATAATTTCTTCTCAAATGCTACCAGCTGCTCCAGCTCCTATAATTTCTCCCCCTAATTCAATATCTTCTAATTCTGCGCCTTCAATTGCTAAGAAAACAAAGTTGAAGCGTAACATTTCATTATCAAGAGATGGAAAAATGATATATGGTGATACTGAACCACTGGGGAAAGTAGGCGGTTCGGAATTTGTAGCTGTGGAAAAAGTTGATGATCCTAGTATTATACCTTATTATTTTTCGCGAGACCAACAGTTTTCAAAACCAGATGAACATGATCCAAGAAAATCGACTCAGGAAGAACGTATGCTAGTATTACAACGTCAACATGATGAATTTAATGTTTTAAGAATGAATGCTATGAGATCACAACAAAGTTTGTTGCTCAATGATGAAAATAGGAGTGTATCAAGTTCTGCTATGAGATCACAACAAAGCGTGTTGCTCAACAATGATAGTAAAAGTGTTTCAAGCTCTGCCAATACTTTCATTGAAGATCAACAGGCTTTATCAGCATCGTCTCATGCAAAAAGAACCTCTGGGGTCCCCTCTGTGTTATCTAACGTGAAAAGGAGCTCCGAGGCCATCAGCTATGAAGAAAGTGATGACGGCTATTTTTATGCTATGTGATCTAAACAAAAAAATACATTTGACAGAGATGCAACGAGAATTTTTAAATAATCCAAGGATAATTAATATTTTACATCCTCTAAAAGTTTATTACTAATATATTTTATTATTATTATTCTTTGTAATTATAATTTGAGTCTTTGCTATTGTTATATTGGTTGTTTTGAACGTTTTTTTAACAAAAAAAAAATAAAAGTAAAAATACAAATAAAACCATTTAGTGTTGCGAGTTTTCGTTTCTACGTAGTATTCTCCAATGGGATTTTAATTAGTAAAGTTATTCCATAGATTTTTTTTTTGCCCTGTGGCACATAGGTCAAAAATGTCGGATGCTTGAGTATTTTGAGCACAAAAGTGCCATGCAAGAATACGTATATGCGTAGTTAACAAAACAAATATTTCATTTTTAATTGGATAACTTGGCAGGAGCTAAGTATTGTTGTTTTCTTGCTTAGCTTGCTTCTTTTTCCTTTCTGATATCCAGCTTTTTGGCATCTTCCTGTTTTAAGATCTATTGGCCCCGAAGAAGGAACCATCATCCCTTTCCTTAATTTTGAGTAGAAAAACCTGCGATATAGAAAATTTTGCTAGTAAACTAAGCAAAGACTTTTGTACGGGAGATGTAGGAGAGATAGAGGTGTTACCCGGGTCACCCGACCCGACCCTGCGGACCACGAGTCGAAAATTACTCTAACCCGGGTCAAACGGGTCAGAATTCAAATTATACAAAAACCTACTAAAATGCTATATTAAACCAATTTATCTAATATAACTGTATGGATAATTTACTACGTATATAAATAGTAAAGCTCTTACCCGGGCCAGCTTCTTGGCGGGTCATGAGTCGAAAATTGGCCTAATAAAATGTAATCCAGTACTTCCCAAAGAATAGTTCTAATTAAGAATCGTTACATCAATATTTAAGGATTAACTTTAGAAACTTTATGAATTTCCGTTTGACCCGTTGATCCGGGTTGTAACCCGGGTCAATACATGACCCGCCCGCAGGGACACGGAAATTATGTGATTTAGTGTGATTAAACAAAATCACACTAAATCGCATAATTTTGCTTCCACTATATTACGTTAGTATCATGTGCACTCATTTTTAGTATCGTAATATTTAAAATGTATAATAAACTATAGTATATTAATTGATATAGTAAAACACCATCATTAGAAAGAGAATTTTGCTATTATTAATAGTTTAAAAGAACAACAGGTGCCTGATTTAAAAATAACAATTAAGATAATATTGTTAGCTATAAATAATTTTATTTTTAGATTAATTACTCTGATACGCTTACAAATTTTTATTAAAGAAGTGTTTTTTTAACAATAAAGAAACGGATAAGTTTTGTTTAGTTGAGCGCAGTATTTAAAAAATTGCAAGTTTTTTTTTACGAGATAAAATTGCACTTTTAATTTTTGGTTACGGTATGATTCCCCGAAAGTTATTTACCCGAAAGGCCACTTACCCGACATCACAAGGGTGACAGATTGCTAAAAATATATACCTACAGCTAATAAAATGTTAACCCTAACCCTATGTGATGTCGGGTAAATAGCTTTCGGGGAATTGAGCAACAACCTTAATTTTTAACCGTCAGTAAATCGAATATTTCATATATACCGCACGCATCATTAACAAATTCTTATCGCATAAATTCCGTGTCCCTGCCCGCCCGGGTCGGTATTTTCTGACCCGACTAAGACCTCTAGAGGCTCAATGATAACTTGTCCGGATAATTTAATAGCAACCATCAATTACCAAAATTGGGGGAAAAAAAAAGAAAACGCAAAAAGACGAGAACGACAGTCTTAACCTATCTTGGGGCACTAATTAAAAACGTTGGGAAAGCAATTTTACCCATACTCTTCTTATATCAACATCATACTAACCCTAATCCTAACCTTAATTTTAATTTAACCGATTAAACCGTCAAAATCACGTGGGTACATGGCTTTAGACATCCCCCAAAATTATCCAAAATTATATGAAAGAATATTATTAACAAAAATAAAAAATTGCAATAATAATTTTTTTTTAGGAATTTATAATTTATTGCATGGTGCAATATATTGCACCCCTATTATAACTATGTAAAGATCATCAATTTTGTGTAATGAAAGAATTTTTACCAAAACAAAAAATAAATTTTGATTAATATTAGGATTAGGGTTACTATTTGGGATAAGGCAGGG